CCAAAAGGCAATTAAATTCGAGATATGCTCTTTGATACACTGTTCTGCAATAGCAATCCTAGCTCCTCATAATAATCAGCTTAGTGGATGTAGGGAAGCGATCTGTTGTTTGGTAACAAAATAGTTGAATCATAAGAATGGTGATGCACTGAAGTGAGTATCTGTACTGTGCTCCACATGAAGCTGGGCTGAACAGCTTTTTCAGGATGACAGAGTATCCACTGGATACTCACCATTACTGGAGATAATTACAACTTGCAACCGAAGACCCATGAGACTAGAATTAGATCTAGGTAAAATAAATGTCCCCAAAGTTCACCTGCAGTATCATGCCATTAGAGTCTATAATTTGCAAACTTTCCTCACGTCCTTCCAGAGATCCTATCTGTATGCTATTCCTACCTGGAACACAAAAATCTCTACTACATTTTATATTTGACTTTGGGTAGTAGGCACACAATGCAATAAACAGATTCTGTATCTCAGAAATGTATTCTTGAAACTTATATATTCTTATCAGCCAATGTCATCCTAATACATTAAAAAAACAAAAATAAATGTATATTTAGAAGTGTTTTCTCTAGCTGGTGTGGCTCAGTGGATTGAGTGCCAGACTGTGAACCAAAGGGTCAAGGTTTGATTCCTAGTCAGGGCACATGCCTGGGTTGTGGGCCAGGTCCCCAGTAGGGGGCACTCAAGAGGCAAGCACACATTGACATTTCTCTCTCCCTCCCTCCTTATCCCTAACAATAAAGACATAAACCTTTAAAAAACTGTTTTGAATATTTTAGTTAGAGAATTGGAAGACAGAACACAATATTTTTGTGCAGGCTGGGGTTAGTCTCATTAAGTGTGTATCATCTTGGGGTATTATTAATTCATTCCTAATACCAGGTCTATTCTTCTAGATATATTACCTCAATTAGCAAGCTCAGACTTCTTTTAGTTATATTTATCTATACACGGCCTTATTTTAATAAAGAATTTGCTTATTCTATTGATTTTCAGGCATATCAAAATTCTCTTAAAAAGGTTAATGTTACTTAATCATAGTGGCATTGCGGTTTCCCAGATTTTCAAGCTTTATTTAAAAAATAAGTAAGTCTCTTCACAAGCATTTGAATTTCCTGTTTTCAATGCATGTGCTATTTTTTTGCATATGCTATTTTGAGAAAAATATTATCCTTTCATATGAAAATGGAAGGTTATAAAAAAGTTATTCCAAAAAATCATTCTCTTTTGCTAAACTTATTGAAAGTGACTTTTAGTTTGCATTTTTCATTAATCTTTTTCAAAGAGAAATTAAATTGTGGCATAGATCTGGATGAGTCATGCTCTATGTTTTCCAAATTCCCCAGGTGTGAAAAGTTGAGTGGGTTTTAAATGAACAAGTATCAACCAAACATGTAATGTTAGGACTGAAAAGCGGATGCATATATTGTGAGCATTTCTCTACTGGAATATATGATATTCTAATGAAGCAATTTATAAAAACAAATTGTAAAACTTTGTCAGAGCAACCTCGATATGAAGGATCATCACATAAATGCCATGGTAGAAATAGACATTAATAATAGCTATTTGAACAATTCTGTAGACATTATATAACAATAGGAAAGGCTAGAATAGCTAGCCTCTTTATTAGAAAGGATTATTTTTTCTTGCAATTATTGAGCCCTGGGCTTATTTTTGCTGCTGCTGCTAAGCATAACTGCCTGCCAGATAAGAGATGATGATGATGAAGACAGAAAACACACATATTTTACTCAAAACCCAGAGAATTGGGACTAGTGTGTGTTAGGACCAGAGTGGGAGTAAGACAGAAGGAAAAAAACCACACGGGAATACATAGGGGTGAAATAATACAACATACAGTTATTAATTCATACTCTGAAATTCCACATGGCTCACTTTCAAATCAACAATTATTTCATTATTTAGGTTCCTTCTCTCCATTTTTTGTAATTATACTCCTATGAATGATCTCTACTAAGACTTATCTAAAGGAAAAACAATAACTGTAAAATGTTCAATAAGCAAGAACGGGTAAGTCACTATTTTCCATTCCAACAAGTTGGTACATGAAAATCCAGTTTGGTATCGCGGCGTATTAGCCATCAGCAACCACCCTTCTTTTCATTATTATTGCAAATTTCAGGGTTATTATCCAGGCAGTACTACAAATAGGGTATAACTAAAGAGTTGTTTCTGGTTAAAGTATCTGTCTGTCTGCCTGCCTGAATATCCATCCATCCATCCATCCATCCATCCATCCATCCATCCATCCACCTTCTTACCTCCCTATCTGGAACCTAGTGACTTCCCTCACAGGTTGGCATTTGGAATGAACTGTTGTTATTACAGGAACAGTGCCTTCAACAACAGTATACAGTTCAAAGAATCAAGGCATTTGACTCTTTAGAAAGGCAACTGTTGCCAGCAGAACCAGCAGCAGCAGCAGCAGCCTGGTTTTGCAAAGTAATTCTTCTGAGAACTTCAGCAGCAAAAAAGAAAAAAATAAAAGATAAATTCTCTTTGCAAAGACTCCAAAGGAGTGTTTAGTCATCTCATGGCTTCTCTTAAGAGTCTCTTAAATATTCCACTGAAGAAGCTACCCTAGTCTCCTTACATGAATTATTAGAGTTTAGGTTTTCTTTTTAACCACTATTTTTCCCTACAGTTTAAATGAAACAGAAGTTTAACTTCTCATTCAAATAAAAGAAACCATGGGCTACTTAACTGACATGGAACAAAGCATATTGTAATGCAGAAGAGCACAGAAATTACTAAGAATTGAAAGATGTATGTTTCAGCTAGTTCTATTTTAGCACAAGCCACTTCAATAAAATAAATGAAAGTAGATAGTAATATACCCCCCCCCCCTAACTTTTGAGAAAAGGGCATAGTTATTTCTTGGCTAAAATTTTGAAGGGTAAGGCTTTCTCCAGCACTTTGCAACATTGTTGGTAGTTGAGTTGCAACAACTTGCCTGGCCAGCTCATTTTGTACGGTGGTAATCAGGTTTTAGATCCCACGCCATGCGAAGCGCTCAGAACCTGGACTTGTGTCACAATTGCTAAGGTACAGTTAATGTTGTGCACTTCTGATATTTTTACACTTTTAAAAGTACAAAATATAATCTCCCGGGAAAATTGAGGAGGTACACTTTTACCCCTTCAATGCCCCTATTATAAGCAATAGTGAGGTGTTTCCTCACCCACCACAAGCTTGAAAATGGTTGCTTCTATTTGTGTTAAAAACACACAAGTTAAAAATATTATCTTGCTACTCTAAAAAAAATCACAAAACTATTTTAGACTTTTATTGATAATATTAAGCCAGTGAAAGAACATCAATGAATAGGGCTGGCCAGCATCTAAATATCTAAAAAATGGGCATCAGTGGGAATGCAGAGCACGTTTCAACTGAGCATCTCCGGGAGAAAGAGGGACCACACCTGGTACAGAGGAAGTATCAGGCCTGTTGAAAGACAAGGTCCCAACCTGTATGTAATATTCCTTCAGATACTCTGTTCAATTTATATAACATCAAGTAACCTTCTCAACACGAATTCAACTTCTCACGACATATATTCAGAAATACTTGTTTTCTGGAAAGGAACATCCCTATAATAAACGTATGTCAATATAACATACATCTATTGTATTCTAGGCACTGTTTTAAGCACTGTGTGGGTACTAACTCACACAGTCTTCACAACTCTATGGGGTAAGTACTGTTATCACACCTATGGACAGATGAGGGGCTTAAGGTATATAGGGAGTGAACCATTACACAAGGTCACATAGGCAGTTCAGTTATATAGCTAGGAATCAAACCTGGGTAGTCCGGCCTCAAAATCTTGGCTCCATAAATTTCTTATTACCTACAAGTGCAGACTTTTGGACCTGAAAAGCTAAAGGCCCTACCAGACACCAAGACCTGGTTAAACATTAACGGTGCTCTTTGAGGTTCTCCCTACACCTTTTATCTGGATGACATGCTTTTTATTAAACTTCCATGAATTACTCTGAATATTTTGTAACGTCTAAATGGGAATTGGCATTATTTCTCAAAAAAACCCCACAAAGTATCTGTTTGGTGGGCACTTAAAGTTCTACAACTGTAGAGTACTTAATGTTCTTAACAGAAGAAAGGCAGAAAAGGTTTTCCAATTTTTGCATTAAAATCATTATGTCCTGAAAATGGCTCATCTCAAAAAGAACACATGGACTTTCTAAATATAAGAAAAGTTAGTATTCCTAATATTCATGTGTGATAGTGGGCCAACCTGGAAGAGAAATTATCTTGGGATAAGGTCATATTTTTGCTCTGGTTTAGTTTACAATATGTAAATAAATAGATGTCAACAGGCACCAACTGTTTAGCCTGTGACTCAACACTATCTCCTATTTTTATCATGCTTAAAGAGCTGACTACCATTCAAAAGCCAGAAAAGTTATGTCCAGTTCACCAACAATACCATTTTTGTTGTTGTTGCTGATTCTAGAAGAGCTTTATTACCCCAGCAACACAAATAAAAGAGAATCACATTTTCTTAAAAAATAATGACTGGCCCTGGCCGGTGTGGCTGGGTTGGCTGGAGCGTCATCCTGTGCACGGAAAGGTCTCGGGTCAGATGCCTTGCATGGGCAAATACTTTGGTTGTAGGGTCAGTCCCCAGGCACATATGGGAAGCAACCAATCAATACTTCTCTCTCCCTCTCTAAAAATCAATAAATGTACCCTCCAGTGTGTATTAAAATGAGCAAATAAATAAATAAATAAATAATGACGGAATGGCACTAAATTGACAAGTTGATTGAGTAATGTTTTCTTTGTAACTGGAGAATTTGGAATAAATATTCCATTTTCTTCCATATTTACTTTGGAATACATAAATATAAAACAACTAGGTAGTTAAAATATCCTTTAAACTACATTAAAGTTAAAGAAATTTGATATAACTGGGAAAAATCAGAAAAGACAGAACCACAAAAGACTTTGTCACATTCTTTATTCCCAAAGTAGTAATAGATCTGCAGAACAAAATAACTTTGGAAATTCACTTGTACTTAGTTATCAACACGTGTTAACGATGCTCTGTTAATAAATACTCAGTTTTACCGAAAGATGATCAAATTCTATTATGGTATCATTTCCTGGCCAACCAGAACTCCATGGCCTTAAATAAATGAACTTGACTTGTACCTTTTATAACACAGCATGTAGTTGTTGTAAAATGTTGTTTTTCCTTTCCTTACTGGAGGCATGCAGAGCTACGGTGCAAGAATTTTGACTGTGAGACTTTTCTTTGAAACAACATCTATACTTCTGCCTCCATAGACACACTTCCTTTCAGGTAGCCCAAATCAGCAGTCACCATCTCAAGGCTGGTAAAATTGAAGCTAATGACTCAAGTTAATTTTCATTGTTCCTAGAATACCTAGGTGGGTGAAAATAGGCATCTGATGCCTTAATGTATATTAAGGTTTTGGCTGCCAGTTCCTTTAATACATTGATGGTTCATGAAAAAGCAAAATATAGCAATCTTAAATGTTCTTGTAAAGATAATAAGCTATAAGTAATGTTTTTTTGGTACCCACAGAATCTTTAAAGTCAGCTGGGGTGAAACAACAGACCACTGCTTTTCCTGTAGTTTCCAATTTATTAGAAACTACGTTGGCAACACTTTGCAATGTGTTTATATTTTATAGTCAAAGTGTATTACTGAATGGAATGAAAAATTAAAAACGGGTTGGAAATTTCTTTTTAAAAAGTTTGGGTTACTTTGGCAAATAGCAATAATGTTCAAATGTCACGTGTCTTAGCTTTTTTGATGTTTGACTCTCTGGAATCAACAGTTGTTCATTTTCAGTATTACAATATGACTAGCTGATGAACATTATACAAATTCTAACTTATCATTTTTGAAGAGAAGACCTTTATAACACAAATACACAACATACTAAAAATCCAAGTTCTTGAAATTTCATGCATCATATGCCTACAAATAAGAAACTAAATGTTAATCTAGCTCAACTTATCTAAAAATGTATAAAAGAAAAGCAATTGGCTAACATCCCTGGTACAAAATAAATCATCACAAAACATAGGACATTTCCTCCCTACATTATAAGGGATCAAAAATAATAGGTAAAAATCTAGTGTTTTTCTAATCAATTGAAACAATATACACAAGGTAAAAAGACTCATAGTCTAGAAGATAAATAACACAAAAATGAGCCAGTTATGTTTTAGGTATAAATGACATATGTATTTCTTTTTATTGTTATTAAAGTTTTTTCTAATGTATTGCAGTATCGGAAGCATTTTAATCTACTTTTATTTTATTCCACTGTTGGCCATAGTCTGAGCCCTGCACACTCCCTTCCCTTTCACCTCAAAGGGAGCTCCTTTGTAAGTAGCCACACACTCTCCATTAGTGCACAGGTCAGGCTGGATCTGCTCCCAAATCTTCTTCTTGGGATTCAACTCCTTGTCAGGCTCTCCTGTTGGGGAAAAATAAAATTATATAGCTAACACGTTAAATATACTGCCCACCAACATTTCTAGTGACTTGTCTTGGCAGTACTTTCTGATCTTTAGACCTGATCAGAATTTTAGCATTTACTGTTAACGTTTACTTTATTTTTACGATGATGGAAGTTTATATTTTTGATCTGTGAAATACCTTTTTGTCATTTCCTTACCAATATTAAAGATATTATTTTCATTCTTATAGTAAATATTCTTTAAGTAATACAGCTCAATGAATTTATGCTACAAATTAAAAATTAAAATATAAAGTACTCTTTAAAAATTGTGAGCAATTAGAATATAATTTCCTGTGTTATATTTTTACAGGTGGCAGAAGCAGTGTATGCTTTACTATGTTTCATGACACAAAGTAAATGGCTAGACTGCTGCTACAGTGCTTCAAGGTTTCTTATCAATACTAGAGAATGGCCTAAATGTTGGGGTTATCTAGCTAAATATACCTACTCTGGGTTTCATCTGCTGCCCATTCCATTTGGTGAGATGGAAAGAGTCAGAACAGGGTAATAAAGACAAGGGCTAGCATTTTCTAAGAACAGGAACTTATGTGCAGGTTGTTGCGTGCAATTCACACAACACTGATTTTAATGTTAAATACAAAGAAACTGGGGCTCAGATAAGTTGTTAAAAGTCACACAATCAACAAGTGCAGTCAGGACTTGACACCAGAACTGTTGTTCCCCTAATACTGCACCTTGCCTTCTAGTAAATGCTGCTTTAGAAAATAAGATTCTGACGTGTGAATAATGCCCCATCCCCTCTCTTTATAGTAACTACTATAAAGTTTACAATCAATGAAAGACAAATGAACTGTAGAATACAGCGTCTAGGCTTAAAGACAACCAATATACCAAGCAAGCCCTTTATTTATGAACGATAAGGAAGTAATGAGCAAAGTTTAATACAAGAACATTTTAATATCTGGGGATCTTCAATAATTTCTGGAATGAAAAGTAAGTTCAGTAAAAAACAATAAAAGAAACAATAAAAAAGTAATGTATCACTTAAGCATCAGCTTCAGGTGAAAAATAATTGTCCTGGAGGTAATAAAAATATTACTGAAGTATAACTCAACACTGATAGAAGGAACTTTCTAGATTGCTTTTTAACTGACTACCAGGTTGTAGTCTCTTAGGATTACTTTAAAAAGAATCTTTTAAACATTACTACTAATTAAAGTCTATATTCTTATTACCTCTTATTATCTAGAGTTTATTCTCTGCTTATACATACATAGGAATAACAAAACTGAGTGAATCTTATTGGCCATGGTAGCTTTATTCTTTATTAGCTCTTCAGAAACTGCCATAAAACTGGCAGGAACATATGAAGTGTCCTCTGATCTGCCGGTTTTCACAAATGACAGAAGAGTTCATTGAATGACATATTTATAGTAAAGGAACATACAATGAAATTAAAATGAAAACACTGACTATAAAGGGGAGGATTTCTTTTTACTCCTTTAAGAGCATTAGATTGGACATAGTAATTAATTTTTATTAATTAACAAAGAATAAAAAACAGCAATATGTAAAGTACATAAAAATTTTTTGTTTGTTTCTAAACCATTCCTAGTCTAAGAGCATAATCCTACTTTGCTCCTGCACAAATCATGTGGAGAAGTGAGCTGCTTTCTGTTCAGGGAGACCTGAGTTAATACTAGCCCTGGATTCTTCCCACTCAAAAAGAGATGTTCCTTAATTGGTAATGAATTAATTTAAGAAGTGCTAAGTGTTTTACATATATTTACTTATTTAACTCTCTCAGTATGCTATATAAAATGATTATCCCCAATTTATAGATGAGGAAATGAAGGCACAAAAATTACAACTATGACCTTAAAAAACAAGGAAGCAGCCAATTGTTTGAAAAGTTAAACCTCACAAAACACGTAGGAAACAGATACCATTCAAAACTGCTTCTCATTAACAACACCAACACCTACACTCTCCTTACAGATGGAAAAGCTGGGGCTCAGCAAGGTCCCCAGGTCACTGAGCACCTGTGCGCATGTGGAGCCAAGATCTGAAAGTTTTACACTTCTTATATAAAACTGTCATAATTTTCAAGGAATAAAGATTTGCACTAAAAATAAACTAGAAGAGGAACCTCCAAAGCTTAACTATCCTCTTTTAGCACACAAGAATCAATACATATAACACTCTGAACGGAGTTCCTAGACTTTAACAAATCAATAAATGAAGCAATGACTTGGACAACTAAAGTTTGAGATTGTTATTGAAACCTGTCACATTATAATCACTGAATACAAATCAGAATTGAAAGTCCTGGATGCACTGTTAACTTCTGGCTTACTGAGCATGCTTCTGAACAATATACTATTTGGTAGGTATAAAACTAGTGGAAAAGTCTAAATCACCTCCCATGGAAAACACAGCTAATACTTAAAACAATTTTTAATGAACTATATTTTTCACAGAAGTCTTTCATCATTCCTGTGTGTTATATCCATGTTCTAAATCTCATTTTTCCAATTTCCTTTCCTTTCTTAATTCACCTCCTCTGCCTCTTTTTGGCATGGCTATGCAAAGAAGGTAAGTGATGATATCAACAAAAATTCTTCAAGCTAAAAACGGCAGAGCCTCTGAAATTGTTAAACCCAGCCAATAATCACCATTTGGAAATGGTTATGCATATTGTAAGAGACTAATCACTCAGAGATTATTTTAAGCCAAGTCATTCTAAACAAAACACACAGGGAATAAGAACTAGTTCAAGATGGATTTGTACAGATGTGAAAAGCTGTGACCACCTTCTCCACCTTCTCAGCACTGAAAACCTACAAAAAGCAGTAACTACAAATTCCAGAGTCTCTGGCATGCACACGTCTAAAATAGGAACCAGAGACTTCATTTTAATGGGGCCATTCATTATTTTGCACAGCATGCTCACTGATCATCAGGTTCTTTATGGTATCTAGCACAACCATAAAAAGCCTGGCACTAACTCAATTAATTTATGTTTGATTAACTGAGTTTTGAACTATAATAACTGTAACTATTGCCACTTGTGGCACAAAAACTAAAGCATAACTTGGCAGGTAAGGGTTAATGAATTTTACAAAGCTAATCAACAGAGGAAAGTGGTCTGGTGGTTGATAAGAATGACCTTGCAATAATGAAAGCAGATATTCAGGCCTGTTCTCAAATACTGAGGGTTTTTTTTTTTTTTTACATATTTTACTAGTACATTTCTTTTCATTTATTCATTAGCCAATTTACTGAGCTCCTAATCTATATCAGGTATTTTTCTACATGATAGGAATATAGCAGTGAATAAGAATTAAAAAGAAAAATCTTGATTTCATGACACATATCTGTGTGAACACACACTAAGTAATGCACAGTATATTAGATGATGTTTTGGAGAGAAACAAAATAAAGATATTACTTGAAAGATCTGAACAGCATAAGTAATGGAGCTATCTCAGGAAAGAGCCAATGGCTCCAGTGAAGTGACTGAGGAAGAGTTAGAGTCTGTTAGGTCAGTGAGATAACGGGAAGCTACTGCAGGAAGGTGAGCTTGTAGTCTGGCTCAAATGGAAAGCTTTTGACAAAGGAGTAATATAATCTGCCCTAACTCAATCTGCCAACTATAACTGAAAACAGAAAAAGGGCAAGGGCAAAAGCAGGGAGATCAGTCAGAAAGATGCTGGCGCCAAGACCAAAGCTGTGGTGGGCGAGATAATGAGAACGATTCTGGACATGTTCAGAAGGTACACCCACTGTCATTTTCAGAAGGAGAAGCTGCGTGAGAAAATCAATAGCAGCTGAAAGAACAGAATTCCAGTCAGATGACATGGAAATTACTAAGGAAAAGGGCACTCTAGGGAGAAGACTGGGATCTGTAATCTCCCTTTGGACATGTTAGTGAAGTCTAGTCGGCAGCTAGATAAGTGACTGGATAAAACAGCCAGGGCATAATGTGGGAAATAGGGGAAGACAAGGGAAGAGAGGAGGTCATGTGTAGGAAGAAAAAGAAGAGGTGAAGGACCAGGGTCTGGGGCATGCCAATGTTAAGAGGGTACAGAGGTAAGGAAGAATCCACAAAGGAGAATGAGAAGGGCAGCAGGTAAAGCAGGAAGACTACCAGGAAGGAATGATGCCAGATGTCAAGTTAATTAAGAAAAGGGCTGAGAAGAAGTCATGGATATTTAGCTAGAGAGTAAATTAGGGATCTTGCCCAGAGAAGTTCTAGTAGAACAGAGTAGACAGAAACCTAACTGAAATGGGTTTTAGAGAGAAGAATCAAATACAGACAAGCTTTTTTGTCTTTTAAAGAATAAATGGATCCAAAGGCGAAACACTCTTGCATATCATACAGGCTTTCCGATGAACCATTAACTTATGTTTATTAATGAGACTCAGAGACTCGGTATCAATAGAAATAATTATGGTCTTGGAAGTTAAAATTCTGAATGCAAATTTTCATTTATTTTGAAAGCAAAATCAGCGCATTTTCCACAAAAGGCTGTTGTTGCCTTTGTCTCCTAGCTAAAATAGTATTTTCAAATTAGTTTTGCTTGGTGCTTTAGGGACCAGTTAAACACTTAAATACTAAAATTTATAGCTTCACACATTTAGGATTAAAAAAAGTATGGAGTGGGGACAGTTTTTAGCCATTGTTATAAAAATATTGCTTGGCATCTTCTAAAACTCTATGGAAATTTTCGGTTTTGTAGTTAGAGAAAAAAACAGTTAAGTGTAAAAACCTTCTTAAGGCCAAATAACAATGCAAAGGTTTGAGTCCCAATTGCAATTTCTATAACACACTTAATATATATATCATGAAACGTAGATCTCTAGACACCGAGCACATCAAGTGAACATCAAAATGTACTAGTAGACACCTTAAGCTTGAAAATGCAAAACAGATGCACTGATGAATCATGGCTCTCTCTGGAAAAAGAAAAAAAGAAAACTAATGGTGTGTTGTGTAGAATTAACTGTTATTTCCTTTCAGATTAGCTGCTACAGAAGCAGTAACTGATGTGGAGCCATGAGGAAGATAAATATTAACAGACCTCATGTCTCAAAATTTATCAGTTATTTAATGCTGTTTGGCTTGGGTAAGCCTATTATAAGTGATAAAAACAATAGTTCAAGGGTGAGACTGGGGGAGGGAGGGAAGTGGGAGAAAAGTGGGAACTGTAATAGCTTAACCAATAAAATAGTAATAATAATAATAATGATAATAATGGAAAATAATTCAAGCAACCCCATGGGGCATTTTAAAGTTAGGTTTTCCCTTCTTTAACTTGAAAAAAATTTTTGGTACTATCTCTACTATTCATGTGCTAAGGCACAAGGGGAAAGTATAAATTTAGAAGAAATATTAGTCTTTGGAAAAATGTAAATATAAACACACAGAAAGCCAAATTTAGAGACTAAAGAATATGGTAAAGGCAAGAAATCCATATCATCTCTAATGCTAAGTCACTAAGTAAAACTTTCTCTCAATTTACTTAACAGAAATATCCAGATAATAACAAGTGACTTAACTGCTGAAATAGTTACCTGCTAATTCTATGAGGTAAGGGAATGAAAGCTGTCATAGAATAAAAGAACTATACACCATCATTAATTATACAGACTATTTCACTCATAGCAAGCAACATCAACAAACAAAAATACTACTGTGTTAGATTCAGGCACGTCTACTGTTTGATCCTTCTACTTACTCTACGAATCCTCAAACAAGTAACTAGTTGTGTCAGGCCTCAGTTTACAAATCTATAAGACAGTGGGTTAACACGGATGATTTATTCCATTTCTAAACATGAGACACTACAATTTACATCAAAAACTTTAAAAAATGTACTAAATCTTAAGTATTTAGATAAAAAAGAAGGCAAGTGTTAATCTGGAAAGGTAAACCAACATTTGTTTTTTTCTTTTCCCCCCAATGCATGCTGAGTATTAAAGGAAAAGTTCACCTTTATTGTTTTTCTATTCCAATTTAGTGAGTGAGACTTCTAAATAGAATTTCAGGTGCCAGGTATACACATGCTTGCCCTTACTCCCAAATCTGAGGTTTGGGGAAGTGTTTGCTATACTGGTAAGAGAGTGGTGATCGTATGCTACTAGAATCTAAAGTCATCATGCTCCTTTGAGAAATTATTTAGACTGGGATTTTCCCAAAACCCAATTTACCAAAAAAGCACAGACCATTATGGTTTCAAATCTACCAAGGTTCAAGACATACACAGGCATTCAAAGTCACAAATACTTGTTCAAAAACTCTTGTATTTTTTAGATCAGTCTAGTTTTTTTTTTTTTTTTTTTTGCGGGGGAAGCTTAGTTTCAAGGAAATTAACCAATGCTTTCATCCACATTTTCTATGTTATTTCCAATGTTAAAATTCTTCATATCCTCATATTTCATGACACATAATTAACACAGGATTAATAAAGTAGGCCTACATAATCACATCAGCCAGCTATTACATTAAAACTCAGCTCTTTCTACAAACATGTTTCCAAGTCAGTTCTGACTTGTAAACCTCAATCTGTTTGTTACCCTTATTTCTGATTTTCCCATTATTCTAGTCAAGTAAATATCCTTTAAATAATATATAGTCTGTTAATCTCTAACTGTTCTCCTATAAGGTTGTCTCTCTTCAATGGAAGAAAAATTTATTCTACATCTGCCAAGTATCTTTTCTCCTCTGCTTCCAAGACCTATTTCAAGAAACTTTTTTGTACATTATAAAGCTTGGTCTGTCTCAGGAGCATTTCACTGGACAAAACAAGCAATATAAAATGAAACTCCTCCCTTTTTAAAAGATTTTATTTACTTATTTTTAGAAAGAGAGGGAAGGAAACCTCAATGTGTGGTTGCCTCTCACGTGCCCTCTACTGGGAGCCTGGCCCTCAACCCAGGCACATGCCCTACCTGGGAATCGAACCAGCAACCCTTTGGTTCACAGGCTGGCACTCAATCCATTGAGCCTCACGAGCCAGGGCAAAACTACCTTTTAAATTATTAAAATAAATATGGATTTTAACTTAGAGATTTTCTCTATGTCCTAAAGTCAAGTAAGAGCATATATAAACATATTAGGTGAACTTTGAAGATTATATGCTATTCTTCCATGTCTGAACTTTACTTTATATTTCTATGTTGCATTCTGAGATAATCTATAAATTATTTTGCAGTACATTAGTTTCTTTTAGACCCATATCATACTCTTTTGTTATGCAGGGATTCCATTTAGTATTTAATCTAAAGCAGAAACTATCTCTGGTGTTTTGTGTAATTTGTACATTCACGGGGAGGGGATGTTTAAATGTTTGAGCTTAATATGCCACCTTGAGCTTATAGCAGTAATCTCAAAAATCACGGTCATTTAATGTAAAGAACTGAATCATACACAGGATTGATTTTATACTTTAACATTAGAAGCATCACTTTGTGAGCAATAACTCCCATACAATTTTAAATAAAACTAATAAATACTTACCAGGGAAAGCATCAAAAGTAACTCTGTCTCCAGGAACAGATCCATCAGGAGGCGCCAAGATTTCCACTTTCTCAGGTGAACTAGCACACATCACCATTGCTTGAGACAGTACTCCCCTCATCTTCGCAGGTTTTAGATTACAAAGTAAAATCACCATCCGATTTTGCATCTGTGTGAAAAGCAGATGATTAAGATGTACAGAATTTGGAGTGATCATACTTCGAATACATCAAGGTACATCTAGTATGATAAGTATCAAATGTTCTATTTTTGAAGATGTATCGTTATCACTTTGTATCCCAATTTTTTTACTGCTGTCATAAAGCCTTATAGGAAGGTGGAAAAAGTCTAAATTCTATAATGACTGACTAAAAAAAAGTTTAAAAAAAGTGAGGATAGTTTAAGGGACCTCTGAGAAAACATCAAACACACTAACATTCTCATATGGGGATTCCGGAAAGAAAGAAGAAGAAGAAGAAAAAAAAGGTCAGAGAGCTGATTTGGAAAAATAATGGCTAGTGCAGGGTAGAAAATAGACATTCAGGTCAACAGAGTTTCAAACAACTTGAAATATCCATACAAAAACATATTACAATTAAACTGGCTAAAGTTAAAAATAGAGTCTTGAAAGCAGCAAGAGGAAAAGTAGTCACATACAAAGAAAACACCATAAGGCTATAAGCAGATTTCTCAACAGAAACTTTGCAGGCCAGAAGGAAGTGGAGAGAGGAAAGAAAGAAATCTACAACGCAGAATACTATACCATAAAATGTTATCATTCAGAATTGAAGGATAAAAAGTTTCCCAGCCAAGCAAAAAAAAGGATTTCATCGTAAGGAAACAAAAAGATCTAAGTCAAAAACAGTGTAGAGAGGGTAGTAAAAACAGTATTTTTAGAATGCCTTAAACTTAAAATAAAGTTTTTTTTTAGAATGCCTTGAACTTAACTGCCTATCAGCTTAAAATACACTGCTTTGGATTGATATCTATGGGTAACAACTAACCAAATATACAAACGATATACTAAAAATAAGGAGAAAGAAACCCAAATATAACACTAAAGAAAACCAGCAAATCACAAGGGAAGAAACCTAGAGAAGAACAGAGAAGTACAAAAACAACCAAAAAACAATTGAGATGGAAATAAGTACATGCCTACCAATAATTACTTAAAATATAAATGAAATAAATGATCCAATAAAAAGACACCGGGTGGCTGAATGAAATAAAGCAGAACAAGAGATTCTGCTTGCAATAATATTTTCTGATAGGGGGCTAATATCCAAAATACATAAGGAACTTATACAACTTAACACACAAAAAAGCCAAACAATTCAATTAAAAAATGGGTATATTATCTGAATAGAAATTTCTCCAAAACAGATATAAAGATGGTAAAATATGAAAAGATGCTCAGCATTACCAACCATCAGAGAGATGCAAATCAAAATCATGTATCACTGCACACCTGTCAGAATGACTATTATCAAAAAGTCAACAAATAACAAGTGTCGGCAAGAATGTGGACAGAAGGGAACCCTCAGGCACCATTGGTGGGAGTATAAAGTGGTGTAACCACTATGAAAAACAGTACAGAGGTACCTCAAAAAATTCAAATAGAGCTATTATATAATCCAGCAATTCTACTTCTGGGTATTTACCTGAAGAAAACAAAAACAGAAACATAAATGAGGACATATAAATGCACCCCCATGTTCATTCCGGCATTATTTATTATAGCCAAGGTGTGGGAGAAACCTAGGTGTATACTGATCAATGAATGGATCAAGAAGATGTGGTACTTATGTACAACAGAATATTACTCGGCAACAAAAAAATGCAATATTGACATTTGTGACAATACAGCTAAACCTAGAGGGTATTATGCCAAGTGAAGTCAGACAGAGAAAGACAAATAACATATGATTTCACTTATGTGTAAAACATAAAAAATTAAAACAAACCAGCAACAGACTCATACATACGAAGAACACTGATGGCTGCCAAGGGGAGGGGCACAGAGAGATGCGGGAATAAGGTGAAGGAGAATCCGAAGTACAAAGTTCTAGTTATAAATTAGTAAATCATGAGGAAGCAACACATAGCACAGGGAAGAGTCAATACTATTGCAATAACTTTGTACGATGACAGACAGTTACTAGACTTATCACGGGATCATGTGGCAAGGTATGTAAATGGAGAATCACAATACTGTACACTTGAAATTAATATATTATGTCAACTATACTTTATATTTAAAAAATAGGCCTAAGTTTCTAATTTAAAAGGCCCCATATTTTGAAGGTTCTTCATGACTCAGAACTCTCAACAAATAACTTGAAAATACCACACATACGAGAATTTTTAAAAATGTCATTGCAATTATGTATAAGATTAGCTAAATGCAATCTTCTAAGGATTAGATAATTATTTGTAGATCTTTACTTTGGAAAAATACACAAATTTACAATATTCTGTATGTAATTATGGGAGGGTGATAAGTGTCCTGGCTTTATAGAATGTTTATTAGTACTGCCTTGATGGGTTAGATACAGATATACATAAAGAAAATTGCTTATGGTTGTGTATGACAGTCTGTGGAATAGAAAATAGCCTGCAACCTGTTGAGAACAAAAAAGATGAAGCCCAAATGAATTTTTCCAATTTAACTGGCATAAGATCACCTGGTTCTTTTTTCCAAGGCTCCTCATGAACTTACCGTCATAAATAGTTACAAAGGAGTCCTATTCCTATGCAAGAGGAATGTTTCAAAAAAAATTGCACACACATACGACCTATCTCTGTATGTTTTCATAGATAAGAGAAACTTCTTCACTCATCCACTGAACAGAGCAGCTAGATGATCCTATTAATACGAGGCAGACCAAGTTACTCCTTAGCTCAAAACCCTCCAATGTTTCTCATCTCATTTAGAATAAAAGCCAAAGTCTTTTCAATAATCTATAAAACCCTGTATTATTTGGCTTATTTATCTGATTTTATCTCGCATGGTACTCCCATTATTTGCTCGGCTATAGTGACACTGCTTTCTGATGCTCCTTGAATATCTCAGGCATCCATGTGATTCAGCTACCTAAAATGCTCTTCCAACAGAGAGACACATGACTTGTTTTCTTACACCTCTACTTAAATGTCATTTTTATAAGGCCTTTCTGAACTACTTTATATAAAATGACATCATCATAGCCTTAATATTTCCTAATTTCTTCCCTACTTTATTTATTTCTTGATATTTATCACTATTAACATGTTACGATTTTCTGACTCCCCCAGAGAAATGTGAGCATCACAAAGGCAAGACTTAAAAAAAAAAATCTATCACTTGAACTCAACTGTTATATTCCTTGTTCAGAATAGTTCTGGTACATTGTAGGTGTTCAATAAATATTTGCATCTAGAAATATGAATAAATAAATGTAGAGATTTGCTCAAGTCCACAAAGCAATAAGTAATATAGCTGGCAATGAATAGAGAGAGGCACAACTATCTTAATGTTGAAGTCTATAGTCTTTGCAATATCTCTGAAATATTACGGAGCACAGGAAATAGGTAACTCAAATTACTATAAAGGATATCTTGAAAGAACAAACTAAAACTATTACTGTCTTTAATTTATTCCACCATCATTGGGAATATATATGCGTACAAAAAATGCTTTTTTTAAGCCCTGGCTGGTGTAGCTCAGTGGCTTGAGTGCTGGCCTGTGAACCAAAAGGTCATTGGTTCGATTCCCAGTCAGGGCACATGCCTGGGTTGCAGGCCAGGTCCCCGGTTGGGGGTGTGAGAGGCAAGCAATGATGTACCTCTTGCACATTGACGTTTCTCTCCCTTTCTCCTCTCTTCCCTTTTCTCTAAAAATAAATAAATAAAATCTTTAAAAAATACTTTATATTTTTAAATACCTAAGCAACACAAAAATAAAAACATCCAATTTTTAACAACTAATAGGACATCAATAAAATCTACAGTTTAATTTCCACGATTCCCTCTCCTTTTTTTCTTAGAAAAGTATGAAGATATTTTACTTACAAAAACATAATACTTGTTCTCTTACTTTTAGGCTGGTGCTTTTTGGGTTTATATTAACAGTGATTTTAAAAAAATAAAGGAATAATAAAACTCCATAAGGAATGATTATATAAAATACCGAACTAAAAACATTTTTTAACTGAGAAAAAAAAGAATACATCAACTATCTATCCTCATGAATCCAATCCTAATGTACAGATCTTTTGCAAGGTTTTAGTCATTTTATATACTTTTTTTGGTAGAATTACCACATTCAAACTAATCAAACAAACTAATCAATAGTGGCTCATGTTGTTTAGTCATCTAATACAAAATTATATGATAAAGCATCAAAAAAAGAGGAAATGAAAGTGTCATGTGTATGCAGAAGTAATTTTACTTGTACAAATTACCTGATCAAGAGGGACATGATTCACCAGGCCACTGACAACGGTTCTCGGGGCTGCTTCTCCAACATCTACTTCTTCTACATACAAAGAGTCTGCATCTGGATGTTTTTTAGCAGTGATGATACAACCAATTCGAAGATCCAGACGGGAAACATCTATTGGCTTAGAATCAGCACTTCCTGCTGTAGATTGTTGTTTTTTCTCCCTTTTCTCTCCTTTAAAAACAAAAAATTCTAAATGGGTAAACACCAGAAGCAAATCAAAAATAAAATATGAAAAACTCCACAGCACTGATACTGATGAGATTAAAGGGAAAAAAATGTCTTATCTCCTACCTTCACTTCAATAACAAAGGAAAGAAAGAATTATTTACTGAAGCCAGTACCTTGAACCCTGTTTTAACTATTTCTCTGTTGAGTAACAGCCTTTACCTCTAGTTAAAGACATAGATAAGAGGTTGGTGAACTATATATAGCTCATTGGCCAAATGCAGCACAAGGACTGTTTCTGTCAAAGTTTTCTTAGAACACCATCGTTCCTTCACTTACACATTATCTTCGGCTGCTTTTATACTGCGGCAGAGCCGAGAGTAGTCCCAGAGCTGCAGGGCTTCTAAAGCTTACTACATACCTACAAAGTGTCCTTTACTGAAGAAGTTTACATTTCCCTGAAACGGACCTGCAGAAAATCGTTTGCAAGTTTTACTGTGACTTTCTACAAAGTGAAAAATCCTACATTTAGAAAGAATGCCACACTTTGTAGCCAGCTAATGGAATAAACTACAATCAAATATAATTTCACTGCTAAAATGTTTCTCTCATCAGTTAAACACACTGATAAGCATATAATGAATTTCTCCACTTCTTATGTTTCCCTGAAGACTCATCAGGGCTTTAGGCTTGTCCACAGCAACTATTTGAGCAGAAGAGAATATTTATTTTGATTATATTTTTAAATCATACTTTTATTTATATGCTGGTAATCTGACTCTTATTGGCATATGATTACTTTAGCTACTGAGTGAAAATGCAGCCTATAAAGAATTCAAATTCTTTAAGTTTAATTTAATTTCTCTGGCAGAAAAAAAAACAAAAGCAAAAACTTATTTATCTTTGAATCACACTACATTTCCTTTCAACTGTACCTCTGATTAATCTTTGAACAAGTCTTTACTGAGATCTAAGGCACTAGAACGAACTATTAAGATGAGCAGATCATACTATCAAGGGACTGAAAATCTCTTTTAAGGAAGACAGATGTATTAATGAGTATAGAATAAACATTACATACACAAGGAAATACAGAATCAGAGAAGAATAATTTTGTCTGGAGTAGGAAATGAAGATTCTGTGTAGATAGCATTCACAATTTATACAAAAATAGTTTACAAGAGAAGGGACAGACCTAGTTCAAAATAATTAAGTTTCTAATCTTATTAGCAAATTATTAAAAATACCACTTTCCGTGTAGCAGATTCAAAGATTTTTTTAATGGTAAAAATCCAAATGTTTTAGATATATATTACTACAAGAAAATATATCAGAAACCTAAATAGTAGTCATCTATGAGTGATAAACTAAGCACTTTGAAATACTGCAGTATAACAGTGTACTTATATCCACATGTATTTTTTTAACTTCATATCCCAGAATTTGAAATACTACCTTTATCAGGATTCCAAATTCCAGAGATAATTACAAATATTAAAATCTGTACCAAGAACTTTGTTAGTCATCATAAAGGATTTTAAAAATATTCAATGACATGAGTGATGCTTATATGTGGCAGTCTAGAGAGACTGTGCGGGCACCACAGAACTTGCCTGTGCAGAATTTTGAAATCTGGCAATCATAGCAGCCAAACACCTATGGAACAACCTTCTATTCCATCACTGTCCAATACAGCACCTGCCAACCATATATATAGCTATTTACATTTAAATTTAAAGTAATTGAACATTCAACTGTGTAGTCACAGTGGATTCATTTCAAATGTTCAACAGTTACATGTGGCTACTGTATTGGGCAATGCAACTATACAGCATTTCCATGACCAAATAAAGTTCCACTGGCCAGAGGTCTTCTAGACCTAGAGCTCCGTTTGCTCTTGCATGTTGCCTCCTTCCACAAAAGAGGACTTTGTTGTCTCACTGGACTAGAAGACTGATGGATACTGCCGTGAAAAATAACCATACATCTTTGAGTATGGACCTCACCAGACTTAGGACAGGCTGTGTAACAGGCTGTTTTATGCTTACTTCTTCATAAATTTTATGAAGTGGAAGAATGAGTCTGACTGGCTCTGTCTGATTTGCTTTCACTGTAACTACACCACCTAGTGATGAAGTTGTACAGAGGAGGATGTACAGCCCCTATCTACTTCTAACTAACAGAGACTACTTATGTTTACCACAGAATTAATAAGTATTAGGTGCTCAATTAGCTTAGGTGAGGTCACAAATCTCTCAGCCATTTTATATTTTTAAAAGATTTTTAAATGAGTCTAAGTAATATGAGTGCTAAGTATAAAAATTACAAAACTACTTTTTAAGAAAATTTGGGAAAATGAAATCTAGAAAGGAGTAAAGCAGATAGGTAAAAAAAGTCATATTTATGCTTACAAAAATAGCTTTGGCAACAAGGTAAAATAAACTAGGAAAGTTTATTTTAAATTAAAAATAAACTAGAAAAGATGAGGCTTTAGCATTAATCAGATGAGAGATCCAGATCATGAGAACTTCAACAAAACCGAGGCACAGAACAAGGTATGCTTTGTTGGTAGGAAGTACATGCTTTGGTGGACAATCAGATATGAAAATTGAGGGAATGGGACAGGTTAAGCATGACTGTAAGATTTCTTGTCTGGTTGGTGATATGCTTTCTACTCTAGTTCTTATGGGTTCCTAAAACTTTAACACCCCTAAGCCTTACTTCAGACATTCTGCTTTGACTGCAATAACCTTTTCCCAGCTCCACAGCTGTTCCTAAGCTAACTATCTGTGACTTTTCTGAAATGATCCCCAAATATACAATATAATTCAGTCACACCAAACACATGGGTCTCTACGCTTAAACTCTACACTCTATGTTTTAAATTATACTGGTTCCTCTACCTCAAATGACATACTCTTACCATGTCCAACTTGGCCTACCTTCACACATCCTTTAGGGTTCAGTTTCTATGTTCTAATATCATAATGTTCCTAATTTTATTCCAGTTCATAAAAGTTAAAACTTTCTACTTCTAACTAATGGAACTAAAACTTTCTACTTCTAAGTAATCTATCAAAAATGTTGAGATCTGATAAAGCAGTTAAGAACCAAATAAGCTTAAAGGAAAATACCTTTCTTTTCAAGTTTCTCTTTCACCTTCTTTTCTTCACCTCTTTCTCCTTTTACTTGTTCTTTGGCACCAGAAGATATGGTTGTGATTGGTATAGATTGTGTCATATTTTCAGAATTAGCTTGCAGTACAGTACCAGATGGTAATGGTATTTGTTTCACTAATACAGAAATGAAATAGGTAATGTCATTTATATTAAACCAACAAACAAGATGAAAACCATGAAACGGTGAATCACAAATATGATTGAGAGAAATTCACTGTATATGATGACCAAGTCTCTACTGTCTGAGACTGTAAAAAGCCTGCCTAGAAATTAAATAAATTTTAAACATGAGAAAAGAACACACATTTCTCCTTTAATCACTGATGACTAAACTGAGAAAATTATAGATAACAATAATAGCTAGTATTTATTATGGATTTATTATGTCCCATTTTTCAAAATGCTTTGTATGAATTAACTCAGAATTTTCATACATATTTAAGCAGCAAATTCTGTTCACATCTCCATTAACAGATAATCATCCTGAGTCATAGAAAAGTCAAAAATCACATGCACAGTCAGTAGGAAAACAGGATTTATACTTAGATAGTCTGTTTACAGAGATTCTGTACTCTCATGGTTAGGGGCAAGATAATATATTTTTCATGCAGATTTTCCTTTATATTGAACAATCAACCAGGAAGATATAGTAATAATAATAATCTCTATATCACAGATTTAATGGAGAGACAGCATTATTTGTTCATAATTGTATTTCAAAAAACAACTTTTTTAAAGAAGCAAAGACAATTCCTTCAGCAATATTAAAAACATTCTTATAGCCTAATGAAAGCAGAAAAATGCAATCCTTTGAGGGATTCTGACATGACTGTTTCTGGCCAATATTCAGACCACTTTTCTGAGGAATTGTTTTTTAATTTCCCTGGAGGTTATTGCTTCTTTTAGTTACGTGAAGTTCCATCTATGCCTATTTTATGTTTTAGCATTAAGACAGAATTTAATACTTTAAATCAAACTGTTGATTTGTTTTAGCATTATCAATAAGGTCAGAGTTGAAAAGTTTAACATTTCAGGGCAATCTTCCAGAACTAAGAGAAATAAAAAGCAGTTTTATATTGCTAATATTTTAACTGATTATCTGTATTCCAAATCTCCTAATCTTGAAAAACATCAGTTAGCCTCAAATTTTCAATTGACAAATGATATTCTCTCTAGTTGACAGTTTTAAGCATACACTATTAATTTTTCCTTACTTTTATTTATCTCACTAAGGGCAGAGGAGTTCATACTACAGGATTCAAAATAATTCACTGATGGAATAATGGTCGAAAGAAAGTATATCTGGGCCCTGGCTGGTGTAGCTCAGTGGACTGAGCACGGGCCTGCGAACCAGACAATCGTGGTTCGATTCCCAGTCAGGGCACATGCCTGGGTTGCAGATCAGTTCCCTGCAGTCCAGTTCCCAGCAGGGGACACATGAAAGGCAACCATACACTGATGTTTCTCTCCCTCTCTCCTTCCCTTCCCCTCTAAATATAAATAAATAAAATCTTAAAAAAAAAAAGTATACCTGAACTTTCTAAACTCACCAAGATAGGATTTTCTGTAATACAATCAAATGGCTGTCTGCATGATACTTTGAAACTGTAATAGAACTAGTATTATTAGTGATTTATAATAATGTAAATTTATCTAGACTCCTTTAAAAATAATTCAATAGAAGCTTAACTTTATTTACAATGTAAGAGTTAAAATGATAACTATCTAACTTGGAAAATTTGAAAAATGTACAATTTCATAAAAATTATATTTTTAAGCTTCCATTTCCTCATATACAAAACAAGGGTATCTGTGTAGAGACATAATTTTATAATTTATGTGAAACACTTGGCAATGCAGTGCTCAAAATAAGTAAAAGTTAATAAATGCTAACTAAACATTATTATGGCTTATTTTCAAAAACTATTCGATAGGTAACAGTGATGATCAAATTGAAGCATAGTACAAGGGATTAAAAGCACAGGTTTTGAATCCTAGCTTTGCTACTTTTTGACATTTTTTTGTAGAGTCTTATACAAGATCATGTGCCTTTTCTATATTTCCATTCTCCTTATACACAAGAAAGGATGCTATGAGAGTAAAATGAGAAACCAGGGATAATACCTAAATTAATAAATGATAAAAGAAATAATAATTACTATTATAAAAAATGTATTATTTCTATATTTAATCACCTCCATTTTTAATTTCTGCCTGAATTAGCTCTTGCTTCAGTTCTTCAATTTCTTTCTTCAATTTAGCATTTTCAACTCGAAGTTTCTTCTCTTCTCTCAAAGTTGCCTGCAAAACTAAGATGAAGAAAATCAAGTACAGCTGTGTTTTGTAAAGGGTTTGTTATGAACACTACTTGAAAAGAGAGCATAGTCAGGACAAACGTAGCTAGGATAATACTAAAAACCAAGTTTGGGCCAGTTCCTTTAGATCAGAGTTTAGTATCATTAAAACACTATGATATTTGAAAGACAGAAAAGGGAGAAAATCTGAATAATAGGCAGCTTTGTTTATGAATCATTTTAGCTTGTGTAAAGATGCTTATGCCAACTTAAGAATCTGGTTTAAAGTGCCAATAACAGATAAAGCTGTAAGAAAGAGAGATAGGTATTAGATGTATTAAATTACCATATTTTTCAGACTATCAGACCCCCCCCCCACCATTTAGGAGAAATAACGGTTGTTAATGCTGCTGTTGATTTCTGTTTACATTTACATTGGTGAAATATTATGTTATTTATGTTATTAAATGTTTTACTTTAAAATGTACACATTTTTGCTTCAAAAATTTTCCCCCTATTTTCCTCCTCTGAAACCTAGGTGAATCTTATGGTCTGAAAAAAACGGCTATTTATTTTTTAAAAGTCTGAGATCTAATAATGATACCAAATAATAAAAACTATTCTGATTTTTAAGCCATAACCTATAAAAGCAGCAGAACAATCTTTCATTACACTGTCTCAGAAGCTGAACTGAGTAAACACTGAATGAATGAAATTCAAAGATTTGTTCATAGTACTATGTGTGTAAAAGGTGAGCAACAGAATATACAAAAACATAAAAGAAAAACAACGATTCTCACTGGGGTTGATAGTGCTCCCTGAGTGGGATTCTGAAAACCCGAGGGAGTATTTTTTGGCTGTAACATATAATGGGAGTCGTTACTGGCATTTACTGGGCTGGGGCCAGGGATGCCAGGTGTCCTGACATATACTAGATAAAGATTTTGGAGTTTTCATTACAACATTAATACTGGTCATTGAAAAATAAAATATACTTAAACAAACAAAATAAAAATCAACCTAAGTCCTAAAAGGAGAAATTCAGATTTTGTATTTTATACACACCATAGCAATTTCTAAGTAGAACTTTAAGTACTAAAAAAAAATTTTTAAATCATTTCCAAAAATGCCTTATTAGAGAGAAATATGAAAGTATACATCTTTCTTCTATACAAGGTTAGAGAAGATACTGCAGTTCGTATTTGATTTCACACAATTTTCTTCATTTTTAATCTCTAATTCTATACCAAATTATTTTAAATGCTATTTTTGCCTTAGCAGTCGAAATAATACATTGTGTTCTTCTATATACCATACATTCACTATACATCAATTCTAATTCATCTTAACCCTATTCTAATATTTCACTCAAAATTAAAATATTAAAGGAACCTAAAAGTTATCATCAACTTAAAAATTTATGTAGTAAACACTTTTATTGGCAATATATAATTCATTTTCAGTATCTCCTTCGGAAATTTAAATTTTTCTTACTTGCTTTTTCCTTAAGAAGAGCAACTTGCTGCTTAAGATACTCAATAATTTGATCTGCTTCTGCACCTTTCTGTTCCAGTCTCTTCAGAACAGCATCATTGGTTGCCATTTTTGCCAAGAAACGGCAGAAAATCCTAAGTGAAAAAATAAAAGTGATAAATTATGCTGTACAAGGAATAAATTTATTTTAGAGGACATTTTGAACAAGCAATCTAAGAAAAATCTTTTCTATGTACCAGGTCAATATGTTAGAACAAGATTTTCTATAAACCAAACCAAAGGCAGACTTATTAAACAAACTAATTTCCAAATCTGTATGAAAGAGATCAATTTTCTTCCTAAATGCAGAAACAATGCTATTTAAATACATTTTTAAAAATCCTCACCTAAGGACAATTTTTTCCATTGCTTTGAGAAAGAAAGAGACAGACAGATAGACAGACATCAATTTGATGTTTCACTTATATTTATGCAGTTCTTGATTCCTTCTTGTATGTGCCCTTACCAGGGATTGAACCTGCAGCTTTGGCATATTGGGTCACTGTCCTGATGAACTGAACCACCACCCAGAGCTATTTCCCCCCCTCCAATGCTTTTAGAAAGACAGGAAGGGGGAAGAGATAGAAACATTGATGCAAGAGAGAAGCATCCATTAGTTACCCCTCATTAGTGCTAGACAGGAGAGGAACTCAAAACCTAGGTGCCTCCCCTGACAGGAATCAAACTTGCAATACCATGGTTTAGGGAGGATGTTCCCACCAACTGAGCCACACCGGCCAGGGCTAACAACATTTGAGCTGTAGTTTCTAAGAAAGCTTAAAATATTGCACAACATTATGACAAAACAGAAACACTAAGGGAAAAGCGTAGCCATAACCTTAACTAAGCTAAAACCGAGCACCACACCAGTGTTCCAAGGAAGTGCTAAATTCCTTGTTTCTTTTGCGTCTTGTGTATTTCTACTGCTTGTTTAATTATGTAGAATTTTAGAAAAAAACGTGTGATTAGGAAAGACAAATATTAAAAGAAAAAGATGAACATTTAGGAAAATATCAGTACTAATTATATGCCTACTTAAAAATAATACATATGTTTGTAAAAGAAATTAGAGTTTAAATTTTATAATTCACAGAAATGAGAAAGCATCCTGTCACGTACATAAAAATGCATAAGCAAAAATTCTAAAATTAATTCATCATGCTAGTTTAAACTGCTGAATATTTCACATTAAAAACTGAGTTAATCATGAAAAATACTACAATCATTTTACCTGATTATATAGTTCAAAGCATGACAATTTATAATTTATAATATGAAGTATAACAATTACAAAACATTCCTGAAATAATTGTGATTTTAAATAAATGATGCATGCTTAATACACAGTAAATTTTTATTTAAAAACTGCTAAAAATGAACAAATGATATAAGACTGTTTTAAAATTTCAAAGCGCAGAATGTTGATTCTATATTAAAAACATTCTAAAATGTTTAACTTTTTTTGTAAAAGGAAAACTGATCCTCAAAAAACTTTAAGTTGACAGTTAATGATATAGAAGAAATAAAAAAGCCTATAAAAATAAAGTTCTAGTAAAGGAATAAAATATAAATGGGAATTAATCTGGAAAAGACATGGTAAACTGGTCATTTCTACATGAACTACTACTTAACAGTTTAGAAAAATACAGAGTAAAAAAAAAGGTAAAAAGTTGAAAATACACAACCTTTAAATTCTGCCAGTAATTGACAAATGAACACAGGATACTCCATTGTTCCTCAAATGTTTGCAAAATTAGAATTTTAGAGACAAATAGTAATGTATAAATGAAGAAAGTTAAAATAGAAAAGCTAGGTTTTTGTGAACTTTCAATTTCCAAGTTATAGTACTCTTTTAAAGTTTTTCTATTTTAGTCTAAGATAAGTAATTATCAAATATACTCATAGGAGAAATACAGCTACCACACAAAGTAAACTAATGACTATTTGATTTGGGATCATTTACAACATTTATTTCCCCAGCAAAGAAAAATTTGATGAATAATGCTAGGGCAAATGTGAAATTAATGATTCACTTAGAAAAAAACTAGTAAACTAGTATCTTAACTGAAAACAAACAAGTAGATTTAAATGCAAAATAGTTTTCACGAATTTGCCAGTTCCAGAAAGTCCTTTCACAAACACTCGCCAAACTGCTGATAAAGCAAAACATGCAACTAATGCCCTGACACAAAAAAAACAGTTTCAAAATTAAGACTAACAATAACTTGCAAAACAGAGATCATAATCTAGACTAAAAGGCAAAATGATACATAATTTTACTGAGTTGATAAAATTACGAACTACCTGCAAAACAGAATTATAACAGTGAGTTAAATAATTGAAGACAACTTTTATAATACATATGGAAGCACTGGCATCACCTAGAAAGGAAGAATGCCATGTTTGAAACAAAGAAACACAAACAAGTTGAAGACATAAAACAACATACACATTGACTAAGAGAAAACAATGTATTAAAGAAAGAGTGGTAAAATTTTAATGATAGGGATAAAAATACAAATGAGATAAAGTCAGAAAAATACACATCACAGTTATCTAAGGTGTTAACAGATTAGGAAATATAAAATGAAGACTTGCCACCCAGTTTTTGTAAAACCAAAATATCATCATTAACTGAATACAGAAGAAGTATCACAGTTGGTTAAGATGAGGTAACCCAGTTTGGTGGGACACGGTCTAACAATCAGCTAATAAATTTAGTTTGAACAACATCTTTATAAGTATGCTACATGAATTTTTCAAGAAAATGTTGAATATGAAAGATATCTCACCAACATATAAAAGGAGATAATAGGTTGCTGAAGAGTAAGTCAAATGTATTTCTTTACCTGTCACACAAATACGAAAAGCATGTAAAACACTCAACTTTTACATAATTCTTATGCTTTAACTTTAAATACTGCAGGACAGTAATATGTTTTATATATATGTATATATATGTATAGTTTACACATTTATTTAACTAAAATATACGTTAATATACTATAGAATATGTACCTTTATATATTTCACTATCCATTTACAAATAGTTGCTTAGATTGGCTCTAGTTTAAATCGCAAATTGGTGAATAAAACCTGGACTCAGAAATGTATATCATCTGAAATATTCAGTAAAAACAAATTTACTTCCAACCATATAATTCAATAAAGTATGAAAAATAAAGGAAAAAAGATAATATATTAGTAACAGAAATAGTGGAAAACACATATTTAGGCCATGAAGTTTTAAGATATTGAGAATAGAAAGAGATGAGTGATCCTACTCAACTATTCTATATATAATAATTATGGACAGTATTAGAAGTCATTTCAAATTTCCTGATAGGTATTTTTAGGTAACAATAACAGCTAGTGTTTACTCTGTCTCTAGTATCTGCCAGCCTCTTTTCTAAGTGCTTTATAATATTAACTTATTTAATCATCACAACACCATGGGGTATATAATATTATCAGTTCTCTTTACTTTGACCATCAAGAACTTATTATAAGAGTAAGAAAACAAAATTTAAAGAGCATGGACTTAGAAATTACATGAGCCTTGGTTCAAACCATTTGCCCCTCTGTGACTTAATAGCTGCGCAAACTTCAACTTCCTTAACCTTAGTATGTTTTCTCATTTGTAAATGGAGATAGTTTTTTACAGGATCTGGCACAAATAATGCCCCTTTTTTATTACAAAATCATAAGCATGTAATTCTGCAACACAATATCACACTCAAGCATACCATGACACTTTAGGTAAAATGTTCAAATTGCCGTGTATTTTGTGCAAAACATTCGCATACCCTACCAAACTCAAGCAGATGCCATGTATCTCAAAATGGGGCAAAATGAGATACCATTGAAAAGTAGTGTAGACTGAGGGGTCCCCAAAGCCCCCATAGCCTTTGGTTGGGAAATGGGAGTAGCAGTGATAGACTTAAGATGCTTTTCATAACAAAGGCAAGGTGACAGCTGTGTACTGCCTCTGGGCAAGGTGGATGTGACTTTTAGGATATATCCTGACTCCTGGTATAGCCAGGGAGATGGTCCACCTAGATCGTTGTGTCACTCTCGCCCTGACTGTGGATGGCAGCCAAATAAATGTAACCAATACTGGAGAACTGGCAAATGTAGCTCATGGTGGGTGGAATCAGTGATGGGGTCACACAGGAGGCTCAGGGTCAGGATTAAGCTAAGGGCAGGCAGCCATGAGGGAATTCCACATGTGGATTAGAAGGGTGTAGAAGAGTCATGCTGCCAGTAGCAAAGTAGCAGCTGTGTAGTTTGTAGGAATTATTTGGCCATGTGGTCTGGTATAATAGGGAAGGGATGGCACGTTGCTGCTCTGATTGTGCCTGATGGCAGATTCCGAAGCCATCAAGAATCCTGCCTTGCAAGATGACTGCCTTGAAAATCCATACTGTACCTAGACACTTGGGACTTACATCTTTCCTAGACTTCACTGTGATCCAGTGCACCACGGCACATGCACTCCCGGACTATTATATGGAGGCTGATGACCATGTACCCCAGATCCTGAAGGAGAGAACTCCTGTGAGATGGTGCAGCTGGCTTTGGTGCACTAGGAAATGGGGAACTACTGAGCGTGCTTTGGCTCACAGCCTTTTGGGGCACAAGGGAAGTGCTGGGTCTTGTGGGGAAGGAGGACTTAGGCTGAAGTGCCCCCACCACCCCCAAGGTGGGGAGACTGTAATACAAACCTGTTCCTCCCAACACTGACTGTTGGGTCATTCACCAAGGCGCCACAAGGGCCCGTCTGCTCGGTTATACCATGAGTAATTTCATACTTAATAACTTTTTTTTGCCATATACCTAATATATGTTAGGCAGTCAACAAAGTTTTGGGAACACAAAAGATAGAATATATATATACACAATGCCCACCTTCAAACTCACAGCAGAGTGGGTTACCTAGGTTATAAATTCTACATCAATGGGCATAATTTTTATTAAGGATTAAGGGGGTAGGAAAGGCAGAGATGAGGACTGGGGGGGGGGGGGGGGGGGGGGGGAAAAAAATTTTTTAAAAAAAAAAAAAAAAAAAAGAACACAATAATAAAAATATAAATTA